TTTTTTTTGTTATTGTTGTGTCTCTCACAGTTCACATAAACCTACCATTGAAATTGTAGACTGATCATTTCTTTGTTAGTGGACAAACTTACAAAATCAGCTGGGGTTCAAATACTATTTTCCCTGACTGTATTTATTTGTCCCTCCATAAATGAAGGAAACCCTATGAAGATGAGTATCAAATAAGGTGGTTAATGTTTTCTTACCAAGCACAGTACATATCTCCTTGGAGAAGCTGTCGGGTCAGAAAGGCTGAGCATAAACTGAAGGCTGCGGTCTCATCTCCGTCTGACTCAAGATTGCAGATCATCTCTAAAGCATCACGGCAATCCTCCTTTGAAAGCTGTACAGACAGATACCATGTATACAGTAAGTAGGTTTCACTGGAAGCAGTGCATATGCACTTAAGAAAATACCTGAAATGAAATAAATTTTAAAACAAGAGGAAACATAATTGTCTCCAGTGTTAGTCTCACAAATCGCATTAAAGTATGGTAGGCCATCAGTGGCGGTTCTACATTGAATTACTCCCCGGGAGAGACCCCCCTCTGAGCACCCCCACTCACAGGTGAGCTGACAGTCTAGCTTTTTGAATTTTCTGAGACCTAAACCTGTCCCAAACTAAATAATCCCATCCAAGCTTTTCACAAGGACAAACTTGCAATGACTATTTTATATTTGCTGTCAACAAATTATTTTTAAAAAAAAAATGCTGCTTTTCTTTTATGGCCCAAAATTGTTTGCAATTTCAGTAGTTTAGTTTCAGTACGGGGGGCGGGGGTGGGGTCTAACAATTACTTGAATTACTCTGCAAATAAAAATGTAATTAAACTACCAAGTACACTTACCTCACCCATGAGCTGATCCTGTTGTGAAGTAGCACAGAGGCAGACAAGGTACATCTGCTTGAAATGTCCCTTCCCCAGGAAGGCAGAACACTCAGAACACGCCTTTGCTAGCAGGGCAGCCTTGCCCAGATGCTTCCTCTTCATCAGCTGCTTCACTCTCATCTCCAACAGGATTATCCCCTCTTGCACCAGGAACTCCTCAACTGAAAACCAGTGGCAATACTGATAAGTAACACTGTGTTCCAACTTTATTAATAGGATTTTTTTTTGTTTTTTTTACATATACAACAATGGCATACCCATCATAGGAACTGTAAACAAAATCCGGATATGATTACTTCTGTCCATCTTTCTAGCAGCAGGTGTTGTAACCTCTGGATATTCTTACAGCTTAATTAAAATTGGATTCAATTGCAGCATTTCCTTATGATTTACATGCAATTAATAAATTTCATTTAAGTGTAAAAAATCTGTAATAGATATGCATTATTATGACATGTTTTTTAGGTAAATGATGGCGGAGCTAAAACATATCTGATGCATCCATCCACCTATTATTTACACTGCTTATCGAATAAAGGATCACAGGGAGGCTGGAACCTATCCCGGCTGACACTGAGGAAAAGGCAGGATACACTCTGGACAGGCTGTAGTTTATAGTCACCACTTAACCTAACCAGCACCGTGCCATCCTATTTGATACATTACACAGCTAAAGACTGATCTTCTTTAACAACAAATTCAACATGTGTACACCAGACCTAGGAATGCATAAGAGGAAGCTTGACTATTTGCCTGCTGCAGAGAAGAATCCCTGTAGCACACTTGTATGTAATTGTATGCCAAATGTACCATTTGCTATCATGGCCAGAAAAAGTACATTTTCTTCTTCAACTGTTTGTGTCCCACATATGCCACATTTAAAAAAACGTTTACTGGATGTGAAAAAATTTAAATACTGAAAATTTTATCCCAAAATATTTGGGGTGGGAGAAACATAACACATAAGAATTGAGATGCATATCTTCTACTATTCTATACTGATTCACAAATGCCAAAATTGATTTTGTAATGATGTTGACAAAATAAAAGTGGCAGAACTCAACTGCAAAGCCAGTGTAGCATGGAGACAATGTACAGCGCAAACATACAAGAGTTGTGTTGTACGTCCATGGTTATAACGTTAGTTCATGTTGAGTAAAGGAAATCATTTACGTTAATAACTTGATAAGTTTTGAAAGCCAAGTGTGGAAGACTGTGTGAATACTTCACAGGCCATCACAAACAGACCGACGTTATGTAGCAGAGAACCAAACATATTAACAAATGGGAGCAGCTCGGTAACACACACTGCAGCACTTCAGTCAAACTGGTGAGCCAAAGACCAGACCTTGTTTCTTCATACATGTGCCAGTTTTGGATCATGATGGTTTTCTCTGGTAGTAATGCTGCAGCACTGATACTGTTCTCCACTGCTGCAGATGTAACATTAGCACAACCAAGTGCTCTCTTTTGTTCCACCGCCTCTCTTTTACAAAACATGCCATCTACCAAAAACCAGCAGTGTAAGAAGTACTTAAGTAAAAGTAGAGGTGCCACAGTGTAAAAAAGTCTTGCATTCAAAATGTTACTTAAGCATCAAAATACAACCTACTTAAAAAAATAAAAGTAAGCCTACTCATTATGCAGACTGCCACATTTATATTATTGGTTTTTATTGGTTAATAACCATTGTTCATCACATTTAATGCTGGAGCTAATTTTAATAACCGTATATACTTATAATTTCAAGTATATTTACACACTGGTGGGTAGCAATATGTAAAGTACTTTGTTTTGATGCGCATCAGAACCAGACAGCTTAATTGTCTGTTAAGCTTTATTAGCAGCTCAGTGGGAAATGAACGGGAATCGGCTGAGACACTATAAACTAGAATAGGAGCCAAAATAGTGCCCTACTTTGTTAAAATAGTTCTGAATTAAATCATGACACCAAGAACTGGAATCAAATCAAACTATGAGTTTGCCAAAGATTCCCACCCCTACAATATATTAAATTTTTTTTTTTTAAAGTAAAAATGTTCTCTGTTCTCAACTACAAGACAACATAATGCTATACTACTCTACTACTTAAAATACAAAAGCAAATACACATTGATGTCAATGATAAGTTGATTAATTGGTTAAAATTATATTAACTGACAGTGCAGAATAAAGGAACATGCAATGTTATGGATAAGAAAATGCACTGTAGCACCTGATTCACCTCTTACTGTTTAATGGAGTCCTGTGTTTGCCGACTGCCTGTATGAGCTGCACAAATGATAAAAGGAAGGTCTGACAATTGTCAGACTTATCTAGGAACTCAAACCATCTGAGGAACTTACCTTGGTTTGTCTGTAGATTTTCACTGGACAGAATATCTTGCAGGACCTTGTTTTTCCAAACACCATCATACTGGCCCAAAGCAAACAGAGGGGACAGCTGAGTGAGGCCATTCTCCTGCAGCTTACTGTGAGCAAACTGTAGACAACAGGTAAAAATCAGTTACTTAAAGTCACAAGGCAAGTGACAATGTGACATTTGAAACTATCTAGTCAATGTTTTGGTAAGGTTTGAACTCCAAATGAAAAGCCAGCCTATGGACACTTATTTAATTAAACCAGAGGTTTCAAAACCTTTTCAGCTACATACCACTATGTAAGTACCAAGAAAGACCCACCTCACCTCTGTATTGAGTTGGCTCTTATATTAAATCTGCTCATTGTTTTCAATGAGAGGGCTTAGGCCTCAATCAGACAATGCATTTTAGTAGCATGGAGCAGCTTTTGTAATCATTTTCAATGAGAGTGAAGCATTTTGCTCGCTGCTCTTGCGTTGCTAGAGCGCCTCATGTTTGCAACCTGCAAAACGTGCTGCCTGACCAAGGCCCAAGTGACATGTTTTGTCTTGTCTGTTTGTATATTGACCTCCTCTGCCCTGTTTCAGTAACATGGACAGCATGGTACATATACATATGGCAATCAACATCTTTACCTGTACAGATGACTTGAATTCTTTCCATAGTCCATCAGGAATGTCATTCTTTAGGGATAGCAAAAGCTCCACAAAACTCCTGCATAACAGAACAGGAAATTAAAAATGTGATGCTGATCTTTGACATTTTAAATACGAGTACTGAACCTTAGACAAATTTAACTAGTATGCTATAATTCAGCTTTAAATTACACAGTTGTATTACACATATTTCCTGATTGTGGGAGTAAACCCTATATCCTACCCCAGCTAATCACTTTTTCATGGTACTTACAGTGAGAGCTTCTCAACCACAAGAGGAACATTTTCACACTGTAGGGAGAGGTATGGAGAAGCCTGGGTATAACTCAGCAGGGCAACTATGTACACTTCCAACAACGGCAGAGGCTCTTCCTCTATCTTCCAACGGCCTGCATACATCAGCAGGGTCTACACAAAGAGAGAAAAAAAAGTGTATTTACTAAACAATTTAAAGAGACCATATTTACACCACCAAGTTTTGCAAGCAGATTGAAAGGGCTGTGAATTCAGTACAAGTTCTTTTACTCATTGGGATGGAAGGACAAAGGAATGAGCCCCAATTCTTATGCAGTAAACATTTAAAGCATAAGTTTGGCCATTTGCAACATCAATACTATTTTCAGTCCCCATACTATGGATGCCCTGAGAAGTTGAGAGGAGTTCTGGTCTGATCCAGGTGGAACACGCTTTTCCAGATGACCCCTGAAATTCATTTTTCCCCATTTCATTTGTGAAATATGAAAATTATTTTTCATTTGTGAAACAGGACACATTTTCTAAGTGTTCATTTTTCTAACCTTCGTTTCTGCCACAAAAGTGCACTAGTACGCTGTGTTCTAAATAGGGAAAGGGGTTTGACTGCAGACTGTCATCTAAATAAGGTAATGTAAGGTAGGACTTCACAAAAATTGCATCATAGATGCCAAGTATGCTTAAAAAAGAAAAAATACACATACAGTACCTATAAATGTACATACCCCCTTGGATTTTTTTACCCTTTTATTGATTTTAGAAATCATTCATGGTCAATATACCGTATTTTCCGGACTATAAGTCGCTCCTGAGTATACGTCGCACCAGCCAAAAAATGCATAATGAAGAAGAAAAAAACATATATAAGTCGCACTGGACTATAAGTCGCACTTTTTGGGGGAAATTTCATAAAATCAGAGACCAAGAACATACATTTCATCTTGAAAGGCAAGTTATCTTAATAACAATAAAATGGAGAACAACAGGCTGAATATGCGTCTGTTAACATAACGTGAATAGGCAGTATGTTAACGTTACATATTAACAGTTGTCCGTGCTCTGATAGAGAGGCGGTTGCGTTGCATGAAGCGGTAACACCAAGAAGGTCCTCCCGCAAAGTCATTTATATTCATCGCCTTGGCAACTACCTTGGCATGGAGACGTAACTGCACCGTTGACAAGCCTCTCCCGGAAGCATGTTGTTCAAACACCCATTTGCGAACTTGTTCCTCTAGCTGTGGCCATCTAGCTTTTAGCCTGCGATTAGCTTTTTTTGTTTTCTTCATTGCAGTTAGAGTATCCTCCGCTTTTCACTAGTCCCTCACAAGTTTCTCGTTCACTCCAAACTTTCTTTCTGCTGCTCGATTACCGTTTTCGGCTGCATATTTCACTACTTGCAGCTTGTAATCTGCAGAATATGATTTTCTTTTTGGGGGCATTTGTGGTCAGTCTTTGTCAGTTGTATTTATAGGTTGATGTTTACATTTCGGTGGTACAGTAGTGATAGGCACGTAGATACTGGCACACAAGCCGAGAGTGCCCTCTTGCGGCTGTCAGTGTGAAAATAACGAACACGTGAAATTTCAATCTACGGTAATATTTAAAAAAACATACATAAGTCGCTCCGGAGTATACGTCGCAGGACCAGCCAAACCATGAAAAGAAGCGCAACTTATAGTCCGGAAAATACGGTAATTTGGCTTTTGACAAAATTACAAAAAAACCCTTTTTAATGTCAAATTGAAAACAAGTTTATACAAAGTAATGTCAAAAAATATATGTAATGTGAAATAAGTGACTGCATAAATATTTATCCCCTTCAAGTTAGTATTTAGTAGATACACCTTTGGCTGCAATCACAGCAAAGAGTCTGTGTGGATAAGTCTCAATCGGGCTTGCACCTCTGGACACTGCAATTTTACTCCAATCTTCTTTGCAAAACTGCTCAAGCTCTGCAAGGTTGCACAGGGATCAGGTGTGAACAAAGCACACTGGTGTCTATAGTACAATCACTTGAGACACATTCACTGCACTCTAGTGATCCCCATTTCACAAATTGTGAGACTACTAGCACCAACTGGCTGGACCTCTGTTGAAATAGGTCAGTCATTTTAAAGGGGGTGAATATTTATGCAATCCCATATTTCTCATTACATATTTTTATTAAACTGACATTACTTTGTAGAAACCCATTTTCACTTTGACAGAGGTTTTTTTTTGTAATTTTCTGTCAAAAAAGTCAAATTATAAACCATGATTGATTTATAGACTCAATAAAAGGGGTTAAACATCCAAGGGGGTGAAAACTTCTTATAGGCACTGTACATAGCAGCAAAAGTAGTCTACTGATTTTGCTATCCCTTATTTTGCAACAGCTGTAGTAGTTGGTCAAAATACTGAAGTTCTTGATTCTGAATAAAATGTTGCTCTGCTTAATTTATTTTAACCAGGAGATTGACTCCTGAAACTGATGTGACATGAGCAGTTTATGGTTTTACTAGAGAAGATGTCTCACTGTTGGAATCAGGTTATTCAACAATGTGACAGTGATGCTTATTTTACCTCAGTCTTTGGATGAGTACAGAAAGCATCCTGTGTGTTAAAACTTGTTTCACTACCAGCTTGCAGAGAATACACAAACCCGACAACAGCAGACTTTCACTTGGATGTGTCATCATGTTTAGTCATGGAATTAATGTTACTTAGCGATGTCAATTGTAGCTGGCAACAACAATGATCATGCTGGCTAACAATGGGAAGCTGCTACCTCAAGGTTTTACACTGAGCTTTGCTATTAAGGGTCAGAGCAACTTATCACATTAACATACTAAAAATTTCACTTGCACATTCAAGCTAAATGACTGTACTGTAAAGGAGAATTTCAATAGAAATTCTAATGAAAGGTATAAGAGGACTGCTGATTAGGGATGTCCCAAAACCAGTGTCGGGTCTGATACAACCCTCTAGTACTCGTACTCCAAGTTGTCCAATATTACACACCAATAACATTTAAATTCAACATTACAATAATCTTATGTTGTATGAGCAGGTCTTCAGGCAGAGAACAAATTTCAGCGGCTTGGAAATATTCTAAGATAAGTGATGATGACAATAAGCTGACAAGATTCTGAGCAGGACAACGTTTTATATGGCAACAAAATCCACTAGGAATGGAGAGAGTATGGCAGTTTATCAAGTACATGCTGGGGTGGCTGTGGCTTTAGAGGTAGAGCGATCTGCTGAGACCAAGCAATTCCTCTACAGCACTGCAGGTGAGTCTGTGTCTATCAGAGAGGCTGCACATCAGCATGTACCCTTTTTCATTAAAAATTGTGACACTGAGCTTTTCTGGAATTCTGGATGGGAGGATGCCAAAATAATTTCATCCCAAAAGAGAGCTGCACTACTAAAAAGGTTAACAGCCACTACTGCAGTATGTTGTGTAGTAGGCTACAGAAATTTAGTTACACATTATATTTAGAGTGGGGAGATGCAATCATGTTTTTTTTTTGTTTTTTTTTTTTTACACAATTTTAACTTAAATTTGCACAGCTTCATGATATCTATTTTATTTCATAAAGTTAACCAGAAAAAGCTGAAAAGTGTCTCTAAAATCACTGCACTTTTATGGTAACTAATTTTTATACAGAACCACTGCATCAAGTTAGTATCAATACTCAGCATCAGGAAGTACTCAGGTGAAAGCACTTATACTTGATTTGAGAAGGAAAAAAAACAAAAAACAAAACAAAAAAACAGGTTAGAATTATAACCAACGCGAATGACAGGAACAACAACAAAAAAGTCAACAAAAAAAATACGCATGGACCATTTTTACTCAGTTCTCAAGCGAAGATTACTGGATTAGTTTGACCATCTTGAATGCAATAATGGCATAAATGTCCTAAAGTAAATTATGTAAACGGAAATATATAAAAATCAGGAAATCCGTAGTTTTTAAAAGTGAAAAAGTAGAACCTACACATTTTACAATTGTATTGTGTATACTTTTAGTGAAAACTGTGCAGTAAATATTTTCCTTACAAATGGATGTTATATTTGCAATCCATTATACTGAATTATTTTGAGTACATATAAATAACACCAACTCAATTTTCCTGCATGTAGCATCTTTGTTATTCATGCAAACATTTACGCTATCTTGGTCCAAAAAATAAATGCAATCTTGTTAGACTGGATATCTATCAGGAGAGACCTGCCTGCAGGGCTGAGAACCAAGCAAAGTGCAAACAACTTCATTTACAAAGCATGCTCTCTGCTTCACAGATTTTTCAACTTCAGCCTACTCACTCATGATTTTCCACCCACATCATCTCTCTTGCAGCAGTTTCTTTACTGTACTGTTTAACACTTTAAAAACAGAGTTATCCTCTGTCAAATTTTTCTGTGTACTGAAGTTAAAGATCCAAGATGTGCTTCATAAAAATATCCCAATTCTATAAAACAAAATAAAGGAATAATTTGAAAAGAAAATATTTTAGAATAGCATATACTTCTGAAGGAGGGCTTAAGAGGCATCACCGAATTATACCGTTAACATGGATCACGTAAATCTCTGTTCTCAGCTGAGGTGGTGCTGCGACATACTAGTGCTTCATCATTCAGTGAGAGCTTTCTGTCATTTAGACAAGGGGAACTATTATAATTATGTTCCTCAGAGCTTCAGACATTCACATGACAATGAACAAGGCAAGTGCACACAGACTCTCTACAAAGTGCAACACCGGAAAGAGATACTACAAAATTATTCACTCTTAGGGTACTGTCACCAACATGATTTCACACATCGCTGGTCTCCTTTTGGTTATACCACAACACTTAGTTTGGAAAAAATGTGTGAGAGAGAAGCTACTGGCTATTTTTGTAGTAGCTCTTTTCAATGTTGCATTTTGAAGACGGTCCCTGCACAACTGTCTCACCTCTGGTTACACACAACCTACAAAGTTTCAGCAAAAAACATCCTGTTTTGATGACAATTAGGTTGTAGGTCTATCTACCTTACTACAGCTGAAAACAGGCATTATTGTGTTTTAAAAATGTTTTGCTTATGATTTTTGATTCAGAAACTTTGAATCTGTATATCTGGTGTCTATCAGAGTAACATGCATATGGAGATTTCCAACAGTCTCCGTGCA